ATAACCCCAATATATATACATACAGAGAGAGAGAGAGAGAGAGCCTATTATGACCCCAATATATATACATACAGAGAGAGAGAGAGAGAGAGAGAGCGCCTATTATGACCCCAAGGAGCCCAGGTGGTGCAGTGGATTAAGTGTTGGGCTGCTAACCTCAAGGGCTGTAGTTCAAACCCCCTAGTCACTCCTTGGGAGAAAGCTGTAGCAACCTGCTCCCTTAAATATGTGGCTGGGATGCCCTAAGGTGCAGTTCTACTCTGTCCTATAGGGTCGCTATGAGTTGGATTTGACTCAATGGAAGTGGGCTTGGGGTTACTATAAGGCCAATGTTATTTTGGGTGCTAAGATAGAATGCAGCAGTGGCTAAAAGTAGCAAAATTCTCTTTTCATGGAGCTTACCTTTTATATGGGGGCAGGAGAGAGTAAGAAAGTAAGCAAAATGTCCTGCAAGGTTTCAGTTAAGTGTTTAGAGGGAAAATAAACCAGGGAAATTAGGCCCCCATTTTAAAAGCAGGTGGTCAGAAAGGGTTTCACTGAGCGGATGATATTAGGCCAAAGACAATTCGAGAATGAGACCTGTGAACATCTGGGAAGGGCATGGCAGACAGAGGCAGCGGGAGGCACAAATCCTGCGTGGTGAGTGTACCCCATATGGGGCAAGCTGCTGCTGTGACCAGATAGAATGAAGAGGAGGCACCAGGAGGTCAGCTTACACAGAGCACTGCAGACCACTCTAAGGACCCTGTGAGTTATACTCAATTAATATGGCCCTTACTGCCATGATCCCTTATGTGAGACGTAATCATTCTGAGCATGGCTGTGGTCCCATGGTGGAGAGAGCGCATGGTCCACTAACAGATAGGAATGGGAAGAGAGTGAGGTCTGACTTTAGTGGAGGGTGTGAATCAGACCACACTGTGCTTAATGGTCAGCTTAGTTACTATTACTTACAGAAGCCCCAGGTAGTACACTCATAAGGTACAGTCCAGGGATGGAGAACAGATTATTACATTTGAGTGAAATTTGATTACACTCTGGAACTCTCACCAAACAACCTTTACCTGCATGGGTCTGGTAGGAAGGTGGGGGAAGATACTAATGGGATTTGCCTGTGAGTAATTGTCAACAGGATTCCCTGCAATGCCATCCTGCTGGGTATACAATGAGCTCTCTGGGAAGCAAGGGGTGTGAGCTCAACAAGAACAAGAGTGGATCATGTTCTCTGGCCCCAGCATCTGGCTTCCCCGCTGCCTGATCTTCAGACCAAACAGTCCCCACCACCATGTGCGATACTTCCTTAGGCTTCCGAGAGCTCTGTGGGACATAGCTCCGAGAGCTGAGAGAATATACTGAAAGATGGAGCAGCCCACCATCTCGCAAGAGTTCGACTTTGGGGACTTTTTCAATATCCAACTTCTTGGGACTATTTCGGTATTAATTCTTACCGAAGAAATGATTGCCACACCCTGGCTTTTAGCCTGAGCGGGGTAAGAGGCTACTGGGAGGTTCTGAGCAGAGGGGGCAAGTTATCTGAAGGGATCCATTACTTTTAAAAGTACCACCTGGTTCCTATATGAAGGTAGACTATAGGTGTCCCAGGTCAGAAGAAGAGGAGGAGCCACCAAGCAGGTTCTTACAGTCATACAGGCTCATGGTGAGGGTGGCCTGGCCAGGAGGGGGAATGAAGGTGATGAGAAGTAGTTGAATTCCAGACATATTTTGCAAACAACAGGGTGTGCTGGGAAATGAGAGGTGAGGCAATAGAGAGAAAGGAGTTATATTTTTGGTCTCAGCATGTTGAAAGAGAAAATAATTATTTAGTGAGCTGGAGGAGGCTGCAGAAGGTGTAAGGGTGAATGGAGAAGATTTGGGTTTCATTTTGGACAGATTGAGTTCAGGGGAAATGTCAAGCGGACTGCTAGAGCCAGACTGCTGTCCATGGTAGGTAGGATGCTATATAAACTGTGAGATTAGTCAGGGCACCAATGAAGTAAGTGTCACCCCTGAAGGAAGAGATGAAAGGATCAAGCCTAAGGCACCACACTACAGTCTGGTTAGGGGTAAAAAGAAGACGCTGGCAGAATAAAGAATGCCAGTGAGGTGTGAGGGTATCTGGGGGAAAGGAAGACCACTGTTCTAACAGGAGTAACTTGCTTAGAGGAGAAGCCAGGCTCTGCTTTGCAAAGAGTCCCCATCTCTGCCAGGGCTGGTGTATACTGAGAGAGGCTGGCAGGCTGCCTTTTGATAGCAGCTGTCGTCATGCATTCAGAGCAGAGGGTGGGTCTGAAGATCCACCTGTGGTTAGCAGCCCAATGTGTAACCTGTGCCACGAGGGCTCCGAAATCCTAAATGCTAGAGAAATCGGTGAGAGCCAGAGCTCAGTGGACCGCCTTGTTCATCCAGGCCTGGCGAGTGTTCTGCCTTTAACAGGGTGCAGTCTGACCATCCATCTATCACAACTAGTAGAAAGTACTAAAGTCTTCCTCCTCTGGCAGAGTTGTCTTAAAAAGGTTTTGCTTTTGCAGGTTTTACTATATCAGCATATTCATTTAGATTTACCCTAAATTTCCCTCCAACGAAGCCCCATCTCTCTTGTATAGAGCCCACAGAAGATGCACTTGGAAATTTTATGAAACAAAACCAATCTAATAAAGCGAAGACAATGGTGTTTTCTGTATATTCTCACACTGCAAATTCAAAGCCAACTCTTAAATGATGACCTCCTTGACAACTCTTTTTGGAATATTTTCTCTCAGTAGCAAGACTGTCAGTAACCTGTCAGCCGATGGCCTTGCCAACTCCACATGTCAAAACTCATTAAAATGTAAATCATGTTGTTTATAAAAGACGCACATAGTTCGCACAGAGTAAAATGCAGTGCAGCCACCAGGCGGACACATAGCAGGAAGCTGTAGGCTTTTGCTGAGGGAACCTCTGGCCAACTGATGTTGACGGTGTCTTTCCCTCCTATAAAACGGAGTTCTTCCCATGGGGTCAGCCACAGAGCTGAGCACCCAGAAACCTAGTGGCTGAGGATTTTTAATTCGTGTCAACCCATTATGCCATGTATGAATCCCTCTTACACAATGTTTCCTTTGGGAGGAAAAACATAAAACATATTCATTCTTTCCTTTAATTTCCAAGCAGGTCATTTTTCAGGCTTGTCCATCTAACGTTAGCAGCGAGTCAATCAAGTCCAGTGAACACGAGATAGATCTCACACGCGTAAGGCAGATGAGCAAATGAAGAACTGAGACAAAACTTCAGATCAGCTCTATTTCTCCACACACTGGCCCCCAGAAGTGGGCACACGCCCTCCACGTCAGCCTTGAAGCAACAGGCTGCTCGCTGGCTTTTTCACTTTATTGCTCTTTGGTGCCATCTAGCCAGTTCTGACTGATAGGGGCCCGGGTCCAACCGAAGGAAACAGTGCCCCGAACGTCACCATCCTCACAATTGATTGTCCTTATGTATGAGGAGGCCATTGCTGCCGCCAGCGTGTCAACTCATCTCTTTTACTTTAGTCTTAGACAAACGAACAGGATCTAGTCAACATCTCCTGACTTAGAGTTACTTCTCTCTCCACCCAGTAAAACAAAATATTTTGAGACACCGTGGAAAGATGATGTTTCCAAGAATTATTGATACCCACTCTTCAAGGAAGGCTGCTAAGATTTTCCAAAAAAAAAGTCTTCCTTTGACTTTTAAATCAACTAGAGAAAGATTTTGAGTACATTCACTATTTTAAGTATATTAAAAAGATATTACAGTTTTCCAATATTTTCTTGGGTTGGTATCATACCTCACATTTGCTACTGGGTCGTGTGTCAGTTCAATAGTAGGTAGAAAGAAATATTTACAGAAAAATGACTTGGAAAAGATCTCTATAATAAATTCACAGGTATCCAAAAATCGAAGTCTATTCCAATAACTTTTTCCTTGGCCCAGCTCTGAAAACAACAAAAATGGTTATCAGTTTAATTTGTCCTACATGGAATTACATGACAAAGCCAGACAAAACCCATGGCAGGTTTATCCATACCCCAAATTTCAGCAAAATATGTCAAGAGAAAAAAAAAAACTCTTATAAGCTCCACATTTTGAGAGTCTACCATTACTGACATCTCTTAAACCTGTAGAAGTGTTTTAGTTAGTTGCTCCACTTTCTTATTAAACATTGTATTCAATTCCAGAAATGCTTATTGACCATCGATTGACTATTAGCTACCATTTGTTTGATCACCTACTTTGGACTAGGTACGTTAACGCATATTATTTCATTTAATCCTAAAGTACCATTCAGTGAGATAAGCATGCTTATCCTTCTTTACAGACAAGGATACAGAAAATCTGTGAAGTTCGAGTCCATAGCTGCTTTAAGGTACAGCTAGAATTCTAACTTCAAAATCATTCAAACAATCTCATGAACCGTCTCTTCCTCCGGTTTCCTTTAAAATATCTTGAAGCAAATAAAGTCACATGTAGATGCAGTATTATTAACAATAATTTGAGTCAATATTTAAAGAATAATTCCCTCCTTATTTAAATGTCCAAGGGCAAAATTCTTGATACCTGAAAACAAATAGAATCGGCTTTCACAATAAATGTGAGGTCCTGCCACTGAAAAATGACAAATAAAGTAAAATATAATGTAACACGAAAGATTAGAGGATATGGAATATCATTTTTCTTACGTGATATTTTATGTACTCTCTATCTTTATATATATATGTATGTGTATATCTAGAGACACACACATATATATACATATATATATATATATATATATAATGAGTCAGTCTTCGAATAGTAAACTCTTATAGCCAGAAAATCTTTTTACCTGCCTATATTGGGTAACAAAGTTTAATTAAGCAGTATAGTCCAGTTGTCTACAGATGGGCATTGGCTCCCCATCACACGCCACCCTCATTGATGATGATATGATTTTTCCCCCCCTTGCAGAGGGGTAGTGGGGAGGAGATGAGTCACTTATGGTTCAGTATAGCAATAATGAAACCCACAACCTTCCTCTAGTTCTTAAACGCTTCCTCCCCCCAACTACCATGACCCCAATTCTGCCTTGCAAACCTGGTTAGACCAGAGGCTGCACAGCAGTACAGATGGGAACTGGAAATGCAGGGAATCTAGGACAGATGAACCCCTCAGGACCAGGGGTGACAGTGGCGATACCAGGAGGGAAGGGGGGGGTGGTAAGAAAGGGGGAATTGATCACAGGGATCTACATATAACCTGCTCTCTGGGGGGATGGGCAGCAGAGGGGTGGGTGAAGGGACACACCGACCGGGCAGTGTAGGATAAGATATAATAATAATTTATAAATTATTAAGGGTTCATGGGGGAGGGGGGAGGGAGGAGGGAGGGGGAGGGGGAAAAAGGAAAATGAGCTGATTCCGGGAACCCAAGAGGAAAGCGAATTTTGGGAATGATGAGGGCAACAAATGTATAGGTGTGCTTTACACACTTGATCTATGTATTGTGATGAATTGTATAAGCCCCAATAAAATGATTTAAAAAAAATTTATATCAGAGCATGTTACTCCAACACCTGTTCGTGTATAATCCAGTAATAATGATGGCCTATAAAGCCTTACATGCACTTAAAAAAAAGCAGTATAGTCAATTCAAGTGTACAATAATGTACAAATTCAATAGATATAGATGGTTAATTAAGGTTTTGGCCTTGATTTCAGTCCTTAACAAATTTGATTTCCATTTGTTAATGGACTTGGTTTCTTAAGACATTATAAGCCACCCACCCACCTGATTCACAACCTTACGATTGCTGTCTCTACTCAAGAAAAACAACAATAAACTGTATTCTGTCAATTTTGCTAATATTTAAAATAGGAACATGATATAAATGATCCAGTTAATTGGTATTCTACTTATATCTTAGTTCCAGATCAGGGTAGAAGCAAGGCTTTCAACCTATATATACATGCATTTTAATTTCTCAAGTGTAGAAATGTATGACAGAAGACCCAGAGCTACGATTTCATTCATTCATCACCAATCTGGCTTTATCCTAGAGATATCTAAAATAGGCAACCAAAATGAACCTACAAAACACACACCAGCTAGTTAGCAATATCAAAAGAATTCCTCATGGTAATACAGTATACAATGTATGTCACATCTCACTAAGATCATCCAGTATGTGTGCTTTGTTTTTAAAAAAAAATAATAATCACTTACGTTCAATTAATTTTTGAATGATCTCGTGTCTCTGCTCTTGTTTCCGATTATAACGCAGAAAAATGCACAAGGTTCGTGATGCTGCCTTTTGGACAGGCAAGACATTCTTAAAGAAACAAAAAAGACAGACAATTAAACTATTGGTATTCTGTATCATGTGACACCACAAATCAAGTTTGAGTTATTGGCTAAAAGTAAAAGCAGTGTTGTCCACAGCCTCTCAGATCATTGCAGTATGTCCCCCTGAAAATGTCTTCATACGTGAGTGCTCACGACCCTCTGGCAAATCAGCTAATACATCACATTACAAAGTTGCTTTGATTTGTCAGAGTCATTTCTAAATCATGAAGATTGGATTTATATTTGACCCTTGATTCCTTGTAACCTCATCTTGAGCAACATTCCCCTCAAATATACCTCAAGCAGTCATTCTCCTAGTCAGTCCCCTGTACCCTGTCATTCTTCCATCAGCAAGCATCTGCTAGAGCATATTCAGAAATCCCAGGTCAGATGTTAGTCTACTCTGTTGGCTTAACTAGCTAATCTTCAACCTCAGTGTCATTCCATGGAAACTCTGGTCCACAGCACAGATAACACTTCATACCCATGGAGCACAATGTCAATCATTCTTAGTAGCATTCTAAACCCCTTTATCCTTTGAACTTCTGTCAAGCACCGGGTAGACCCTTAATTTCAAATAAATCCAACCACCTGATTTTATTTGGCTTGGGGTACAACTGTGTTTCAGAAAAAAGAATCTTTTGACCAAGTGTATTGGATCCAGGTGGAATACATGTTCACCATCTTTCTTTACTTACATATAAATATTACAATATTCAATTACTGAAACTTCAGGCTATTATAGCAGGGATCCTTGAAATTCAAATAGAATGAGACTTTACATTGCTGAGATAGTACTGCGTGCTTCCTCCCTCTTATGTGTTATACATTTTCCTTTCAGTCTGTTGGACACTATTCCATGTGGTGTTTTTAATCTGTTGAATGTACAAATACAGGATATTCATTCTAACTAAGAATGTAAAATTAGGAAAAGTGTATATGTAATAGAAATACCACTGGGCTTAAGAGACATGAATTTTGGATGCATGAGCTAAGTAAAAACATGTTACCCTTTGCCTTCAACACATGTATACTAACAGAAATTTCAAATGTACACACGCTACCATATGAAAATATATACATTCTATACATTACAAAATCTTACAAAGGAGGCCTGGCAATGTAATGTTTAAAGACTTTGCTGCTAACCAAAAGGCCTGCGGTTCAAGTGCACCAGCTGCTCTGTGGGGGAAAGATGTGGCATTCTGCAGCCTTCCCTCACATGACGACAGCCTTGGACACCATGGGGGACAAGTCTGTGCTGCCCCACAGGGTCACCATGAGTCAGAGTCATCTAAACAGTAATGAGTGTCGATGAGTCATTTAAATTAATGTCATCCTTACTGTATAAACAAGTCAATTGGTGGGGGGCGCAGAAATCAAGGAAGCTAGCAACCATATATGGAATCTTATCAACAGGGTTATCAAAGTCAGCTTAGAGAAGTTGTAACAGCTTGAACACCACCACCCCCGCCAAAAAAGCCATGAAGGTGATTTATTAAAACATCATTTAATGTAAAAATGAGTCCACGACGATTACAAAAGAGAGAGAGAAAACCAAAACTGATTTGTCATCAGAGACAGTGGCGAAGACCACAAGTCCTGGCTCCTGAAATGGACCATTAGAAAGCTTATCTGGCTTTCCTACTGCAAGTGTATTTCAAGGGAGTCAAATAACTCAGATGGGCAAATAAAAGCACCTCTTCACAAGAAGAACGTGCTCAGAAAATTCAGAAGAAATGCTAGGGTTTCTGAAGAATCACTGTGCTCATGAAGTTAGGGATCCTGGCCATCAGTGGATGCTAAAACTAATGGATAAAAAGTTGATGAAGTAGCGCATGCAGATGACAATGCCAATAGGCAGAAGGGCAGGCAGGGGGAGGACAGAGCTGCCGTGGGCACACAGCCACTCTCACCTGTGGGACACCATGCTGATGAGCTGCATGATGAACCACACAGCAGCACTTCTGAAGCAGTCTTCCCCAAATCCTGAACCTAATCTATGCAAGCGTTCGCACCTAACCTCTAGTGTACGAGCTGGAAAGGAAACAATCTGACAAAGTCAGAAGGGGAAACGTTCCACAGGACAACAGGCTACATCTTTTTCACAATCAAAGGGCAAGAAATGTGAGGAGGAGAAGGACAGCACGGGGAGGGAGGGGGAAGATGCCCAGGGGATCTGTTCTGAATCCAATGAAAAGTAAGCCATGTAACACCGAAGGCAATGGATGATCCCGTGGGAAATAAACGAACTCTACAAGTCATTTGGGGGATAACTGGTACAATTTTAACATGGACAGTCTATTAAATTATATTAATAATTGATCATTTTGTTCAATAGAATAATAGTATTATAGTTGTATGGGGAAATGACCTTATCTCTTAGAGATGAATATGGAAATGTTCAGGGATAAAATGCAAGGAGGCTTTAAAAAGTTTGCAGGACGATTCCATTAACTTTTAATTCCATTTTCCATGAACTATTTGAAGCCTCATCATATAATGGCATCTATCACTTAAAATGTTTGCCCAACGTGACACAGTTCAGCACTGAGCTATTAACTGATTGGTCAGAAGTCTAAATCCACCCAACAGCAAGGCGGGAGAAAGGCCTGGTAATCGACTTCTGAAAGATAGCAGCGATAGAAAAACGCTCTGGAGTGCATTTTGACTCTGAAACACACGGGTTTCCTGTGCTTTGGAATCAACTAAACGGCAACGGCGTAATTTAAAATACTGCAGCTCAAGAAAGCATAAAATGTAAGTATGGCAAAAGGTTAGTAACTGTTAAACCTAGAGGCTGCGGATAAAAGAGCCCTGCTGTTGGGTCGATTCTGACTCAGCGAACCTACACAGGGTTCCAGAGGCTGCAAGTCTTTATGGGGCGGAAAGCTTCGTCGTTCCTGTGGAGCAGCCCACTAAGCCCCAGGGCTTCCAGGTGACGGGCAGCAAGAGGTTCATTATAACTTTGCTCTGCTCTTCTGCATCGCTGAAAGCCTTCATAACTAACGTGGAAGAAAGGGGGTAAAGCCAGCTTTGTCACGTCTTTCCTGAAACCTCCGAGTCATGCCTACAGAGACAGACGGACGGCTTGAGGCCATCTCATGGCCTTCAAGGTCTGTGTGCTGTGGGCCAGGCTAGCTCATCTCCCTCGACCACAGGCACCCTTGCTGCTCCTTGCTGCCCAGCAGGCCTGATTTGGGGCATATGCACCCCCAGAACCAGATGGCATTGCTCCTCCAGGCCCCACGCCTTCCCAGTTCCAGCCTCACACCAAGTGTACCCACAGACTGCAGCTGCAGCTGCACCCTCCAACCCTCCACCCCAGTCCCCCTCCCCCTGCTCTGGGGCTCCCCGGACCTGTTACAGGACACTTCTAAGTAAGGGTTTGTTTCATCATGTAGAATGTAAGCTCAAGGAGAACACGTACTTGTTCACTTCTGTTCACTATTCTAACCACCTAAAATGGTCCGTAGCATAGAGTAGGCACCCAGTAAATTTTGTCAAAATGAGTGCAGACTGACGATTAGGCATGGAACCAAAAATAAAGAACTTTCTCTTCTCCAGAGGACACTGATCCAGAAGACCTAAGTGCCAGCTTTCATCACAGAAAATTCACTATCATAATCATATATGAGGGGGTACCCCCCAAAATGGAATTTTTTTCAAGGCTATGTCTTTAAATTTTTTTACAAAACAACCTATCCCCTTCAAAGTACTCTCCATTACACTTCATACATTTGTCAAGTCTGCGATTCCTTTCTTGGAAACATTTTTCAAACTCATCTGGTTTGGATGGCTGACAGTACCTCCCCTCATTTTTTTCTTCACCTCTCCTACATCATCAAATCGCTGTCCTTTCATGTCCCTCTTCATTCGAGGAAACAAAAAGAAGTCACACGGAGCAAGGTCAGGTGAGTAAGTGTATAGAGTAAGAGAGGCATGCTGGGATTTTTTTGCCAAAAACTGGCACACTGAGATGGCTGCATGAGCAGGTGCATTGTCATGGTTGCAAAAGCTGTTCCCCATCTGCCACAAATCAGGTCTTTTTGGTCACATAATGTTATGTAATCTTTTCAGAACCTCTAAATCAATAGTTCTCAACCTGTGGGTCACAGCCCCTTTGGGGTTCGAAGGACCCTTTCACAGGGGTTGCCTAATTCATAACGTAGCAAAATTACAGTTATGAAGTAGCAGTTAAAATAATTGTGTGGTTGGGGGGTCACCAAAACATGAGGAACTGTATTGAAGGGTTGCAGCATTAGGAAGGTTGAGAACCACTGCTCTAAATAGAAAGCTTGATTAATAGTCTGACCTGGTAGAACCAACTCGAAATACACTATCTCCTTCACATCAAAAAAACAAATGAGCATTGTTTTGATCTTTGATTTCACTTGACGAACTTTTTTTGAGCAAGGTGAAAATGGCATCTTCCACTGGCTTGATTGATGTTTGCTTTCAGGGTCATAAGAATAACACCATGTTTTGTCACCAGTAATAACCTTGGGGGGTGGGGTGGCAATCTGGATTTCTTCTGAGCTGTTCTTTCAAAGCATGCCATCTTTCCACTCAATGCTCTGTTTGCTGGTCAGTCAGAACCCAAGGCACAAATTTTACAGTGCCCCCTCTCATTCCAAAATCTTCCATTAAAATCTACTGAACTGAGCTCCATGATAGACCAGATAACCTCCCCAACTCTTCAATGATCCACTGTTGGTCTTCGAGCACAAATGCATAAATTTTGTTGACATTTTTGTCCATTTGGGAAGTTGACATCCAGAATGAGGTTTGTCATCCATCGACATTTCACCTTTTTTGAAATAAGAAAATCACTAGTACATTTGAGTTTTTCCCATCACATTCCCATCACACTGTCCTTGTAAGCTGTGTTCAACATCATACCAGTGTCTGCGGCATTTTCCCCAAGCAGGAAACAAAATTTCATAGCGGTACACTGTTCTCTTAAATCAGCCATCACAAAAAGTGAGGTTTGAGTGAAACTGCTTTTATGAAAAAATTCACTGTGACCAGAGAGAACTTTCCCAGGTGACGCCACTAAGTGCACTAACTCAGAGCAAGTTGCTTGATGCTCACCTAGCAGGAAAAAAATGTGTAATATGAAGTTCCGCCCAGCATAGCTTTTTTGCCATTTTGGAGGTGGAGGGGGGTACCCCTCATATGTCCTGTTCAGTGTGGCATGCATTTATTTATTTTAAAATTTCAGGCTTGAAATTCCTTTGTTCACCCTGTGTTTAAATAACTTCTCTTTTCTGATAAGAGATACTAACAATACGGAATAATTATGTATTCTTAGCTTCACACCTAATTGAGACAAACAAGATCCTTTGTCATAGCTCTTATCATATCTGCTATGAATTTTTATCTTATTACCTATCACTCCCACCACATCACCACCTCCACTTTTAGAAGGTCAGCTCCCCCAGAGAAGGGTTTTGTCTATTTATTCACTTCTGTAATGCCAGATCTTAGAACAAATCGCATTAAGTATAACAAACGCTTCTTAATTTTATGTGAAATGTAGTACGCACCCATGCTATGGAGTATAAAACAGACCAGGATGTTACTGTTGCTAAAACCATGTTTTCAAAAGAGTCCATCTACAGTAGGGCCTTCAGCTTCTCAGTTTTGGTTTGCTCCAGGGAATAAGCATGTGGAAGGGTGTGTGCCGATTCAAGAAGGGGGTCCCCATTAGCACACTCAGTTGGAAGAGTGTACCTATTAGCACACTGTTGGTTTTTTACTTAAGTTGCAAGTAGCACCAATGAAGATTTTTTTAATCTTCAAAAAAAATAGCTTTTAGGTTATTGATATGGCTGTTATGATTCATTATGCCCCCTGAGAACAAACAATGAGAAATCAAACTGATTTGTAAAAAGTGTATCAAGCAAACATGACATGTCACATTTTTATCATTCAACAGGTGGTAGCAGAATGGCAAACTAAGTGTACAGTGGACTCTGGCTAAAATAATCCTCTTGGAAGATTCTAGAGAAAAGGATAGACAAATCACTTGGGGAGGGAGGGCTAGGGGGAAGAGGAGGGTGAGTACAACCCGCTTTGAGAAATTATAAGGTCTACTTGAGAGGATTTCATTGTTTGCTTTTGTATCTTAATTATAAGATTATTCATAGTAGGAAACCCATGTTTCTTGGATAATCTGTATCTGTTACATAGTCACCCTTTAACCCAAAGCCCATTGCTGTCTAGTCACCTCGAACTCAGCAATCCAGCAGGACAGAGTGGAACTGCCCATAGGGGTTCCAAGACCTTTAAGGAAATGACAGCTATATTTGTCTCCCACAGAGCAGCAGATGGGTTTGAACTGCCAACCTTTCAGTTAAGCAACTGCTTAATCTCAGTCATCCTTACGATACTATAAAAGGGAAAAGTACCCATTCTATTTCTGAGATGACTTGAGGTCCCTTGGCAGAACAACATAGTTAAGGGAGGCATGGAAACATAGAAGGTGTGCATCAGAGCACAAGGTCTGCTGTTGACATCGCAGATTCTTCTCAACCAAAAGCTGAAACCAAACTCACTCTCAGCCGACGCTGATTCTCAACCTCATTTTACACGAGCGACAACTGCCCCCAACTTACTGACTCTCCTGTTCTGCGATACTTTGTATTGACGATGCATGTCTGGCAGTCATGAATGTGAGGTGAGAGACAAGAGTAATGTTGGCTGAGATGGTTAAGGTGAAGTGTCGGTTGGCTGGGCCAGGATCCTCAGTGGTTTGATGTAATTTGGTATTTATGTAATAATGTAATCATCCTCTATTTTGTGACCTGATGTAGTCACCTTCCATTTTTATATAATACAGATTTTTGCCTAACAACCTGATCTACAAAGCTAAGCATGACGATGAGTGCAGAGTGGGTGTTCATACTTTCAAGTGAGTCGACACTGTCCACATAATAAACATAAGCTAAGTAGAGGAGCCACCTGTTGACTTCTTGTTCCAAGGAGCACTCATGGGGAAGCAATAGGAAGCCTAAGTCTGTGTTTTCATTCCCTCTCCCCCTTAGCGTGGAAGATCACATCCTCCTAGACCAGAAGCATGGAGCTGCCACTCTGAGGATATGAAGAGTCTGGCAGGTCTAAATCAGCCACGTGTTCAAAGGAGTAAAAGAAAGAGGTGCTGACTCACATTTGTCATCATGATTGTGAACATTCTTTGTAAGAAACGGTAATAAATCTGGTCACTTGATATGATGTGTGGCAGGCAAGCGTATGTGTCCAGTAACTTCTCGTGAGTTCTCCACTTCAAAGAGGCTGCTGCTCGCTGTTCTGCAGCTGTGAGTGCAGGGATGAATTCTGGCAGAGCTGATAGCTGAAAGAGAGCAGGTGTCAAAAGAATTGATGATCATCAGCACAAGCATTCCATCAGATGATGATTCAGTCTTATGTAATTGGACATGGGGGAGGGAACTCTTGCTCATTTCAGAATGCAGGAGGCATCTCAGTTGTCACAAGGAGATAATTATCTGATGAAATGAGACACTTTTTGAAAAATCCACAAATAAAATCTAGGGCTACTGCAAATTTTGAAATAGAGATTGGGAGTCATTATTCTTCCTGTCAGATTAATTATAACAGCAACTCTTCAAACTAAAGTCAAAATTATTATATATTCTTGTCAGCAAGCTTTGACCTTCTAAATTCCTGCCTCCTTGTTCTCACTACTTGATGTTCTTAGAATAATCATTAATGCAAATGAAAACTGGAAATAAGAATGTAAACTCTGAGGAACACAAATAACAATTATGTTAGCATTAGCACTGTAGGGAAAATTCAAGCTATTCAAATGTCACCTGACATGTACTGAGCACCTGCTATGTGGCAAGTCCAATAGGAAATGCTCTCCACACAGGGCTTCATTTTGATTGCTCACCGCCCTGGAGAGCAGGGAAAGACTGCAGGACTTTGTTGAGTGATGGTATTTACCTTATTTTCTTGACCACTGCTTTCTCCAACACCAGACATCAGTTCCAGGATTTCTGGAAGATGAACTATAAGGGCATCTAGTACCTTTTAATAGAGTTGTTGCAGTTATTAAGACATTTTTCTAATCTAGATTAGTTAACTCATCCCTAACTTTACACAGGTCAGTTTTGACCCAGAAACTGTATTGGTTATCAAGCAATATTTGGGGAATTCTAGTTTCTTATCCTGCTATCTTCTTGCCAAAAAGAAACACATTCAATTACCTTGATGAGTCGATCTTTGGAAATGATCATTTAGTGATAGGACACATTAAATACAGCATGTAAATAAAGTATTTAAAAACCTTCACAGTTATATAATGCTACCCAAACAGTACTGATGCAAAAGAAGATCACACTTGTGCAAAATAGATATCAAAACCAAACACTCCAGACAGTTGATTCCACCTCATGGGGACTCTCTATGGCAGGGTAGAGCTGACCCTGTCGGTTTCCGAGACCGTAAGTCTTTACAAGGGCAGAAAGCCTTTGCTTTCTCCCATGGAGCAGCTGGTAGTTGGAACTACTTAGCTGGTGGTTATCAGTTCAACATGTACCCAACTGTTCCTCCAGGGTCCTCAAACCACCCCCGCCCTCATGCCATTGAGTCGATGTTCACTTACACTATACTACTCCTGTGACTTTCAGAGATTATAACTCTTTACAGGAGTCGAAAGACTTATCTTTCTCCCGTGGAGCAGCTGATGGTTTTGAACTGCCAACCTTGCAATTAGTCAAACGCGTAACCACTACGTCACAGGAGTCCCCAATAGATAGGGAGGGAATGAGAAAATATATCCAAATAGCAACAGTGATTGGAACTATGGGTGCTCTTTTGTCTACTTGTCTGCATTTACCAAATATTCCTTAATAAACACATATACACAGAATTTTTATAAATCTATTTCTTTGTTAAGATTTTTTTCCAATTTGAAGACTCATTTAACCTTCCTAGGGTTAGACAGCTGAAAGAGTTAGTGTGATTCTCAAGAAGTTTAAAGACATTAATAAGTTCATTCAGACTTAGTATAAAAGAAAACCAAAGAGTAAAAAAAAATTACCTCTAGTGATTCATCTTCTAACAGCGTTATGAGTTCTTTATGTATTAAATATACTCCAGAATTCAGAAGTTTAGAGACCTAAAATGTAGCAATAAAGTCTCTCAGATTTAAGACTACTATATCCATGAAGTTTATCACATTAATTTTTAAAGTACATCCCTATTAGGCACTTCTTATAAAAGTAGGCTACAAATCAACATAAGATGGTACTTCTAGAAAAGTAAGTTGTATTCACTGTCAGCAGTGTGAGGCCATGCAGGGATGAGAAGTGCATAGCAGAAGGAGAAGGATTTGCCAGTCCCCTAAGCTTCTCCTCAGGACAGTTTAAGAAGCCCACAGATGCCTCTAGTGCACATGTTCACGTCTGGGAGCAGGCAGCAGGGTTCTCAAGGCTAGCCTGGGCCTGAGAAGTTCAGCCCACTGCAGAGCGTGGCCAGCTGGAGGCCAACAGGCACTCGGGGGCCTATCTTGCTCATGTTCCCACCAAAGACTGACTGGCCTACAAGGAGAGATGAGAGTGTAGACATGAGAGTGCAGTTGCTTTAGAACAGAGACCAAGCCCCCTGAGAGGAAATTATGGTTTCTAATTCACCTCTATTTGTTTTACAGATTGGGCTTCAGAATAGGCTTTCTACTGGGGTGAAAAACACCACCACAGAATTGTTCCTCGATAAAGATAGAGTATTTAAAACCTCAGCTCTGCTCTACAAAATTGTTCTAACTTGTTGAAAATGTTCAGAATAGAATTTTTCTGTGGGGGGAAAAAGAAGTATAGCATTCCAGCAATACTGTTCTTACTCAAAAATCACACTGCCACGGAGTTGATGCGGACTTCTAGTGACCCTATGGGACAGGGTCCCTATAGGACAGAAACCCCTGTGGTCTTCTGTGGCTGTTGTTGTTTATAGCTAAAGAAACCCTCCTTCCTCTCAAGGATCAGCCGGTGGTTTTGAACTACTGACCTTGTAGTTAGCCGCCCAACTTGTAGCCACGGATATTGTTATGAAGGAAAGTTAAATCCATCCGTGGACTTTTGTTACTTCAAGGGGCAAGCGCTTAGCCGACCAGTACGGCAAGATGATGAGGAGATATCAAAGACGGGCGCTACTTGTTACCATCGGGTTGATTCCGACTCAGAGAGGCCCTGTAGGATGGAGTGGAGAACTGCACCTGTGGGTTTCCAAAGCTGTGAATCTTTATAGGAGTGGAAAGCCTCACCTTCCTCCACAGAGTGGCTGGTGGTTTTGAACTGCTGACTTAGGGGTTAGCAGCCCAACCCACTATGCCACCAGGGTGATGAATATAGAATTGAGGCACCTCCCAAACAGGTCAATAATCTCCAAATTCATTCCTACCCACAAAATATTTTGGTATACAGAAGAAGGCTTCAAAATGTGTGGAATTAAAGACGATGAACATTTTCCACAAACTTTTTGAAAGCTGCTATATGTTTTGTTGTATATAACAGCAACATATTATGTACATTATATAAAGCAATTAGAAATGAAATATTCAAGGGGTGAGATAAAATTAAACATATTATTGCATCACCAGTCTCCAGGCTTGTAAAGCTTTGTCTGCAGACCACTGACCTAGTCAAATACATGTGTACTTGGTTGTGGTTGTCATTCTGTGGTTGTAAACGGGAGAGTTGATTCCAAGCCAAAGCAGCCCCATGTAACAGAGTAAAACTGCCCCACAGGGTTTTCTTAGCTATAATCTTTATGGAAGCAGACTGCCAGGACTTTCTCCACAAAAAAGGCTGGATGGGCTCAACCTGCCGACCTTTTGGTTATCAATCAAGTATTTAATCATCCGTGCCACCCCGGGCTCCAGCACAGGAACCTAAATGCCACTTAGCATTCTTAGTCCTCCTCCCTAACCCTCATCCCAAAGCAGGATTTCTGTAATCTTATTCACAAAATTTTTTCATTGTATAGTGCTGTAATTGGTTCATTTAAAGCAGGTTCATTGTTCCATTTAAAGCAGGAGTGGGGAACACCTAACCCTCGGGCCAGGCCGTACTAGGTCGACAGAAATCATCCATATCAGCTAATATCACATACCTCACCAAGGAGAAGCAGTTCCAGGCCTCAAAGAAGGGATGAGTTCATTAAATGTTAGACCAGCATGGCTTAACAATGGTGTTATAGACATCCAAATGGCCCTTGGCAGGAAGAAGGTTCCCCACCCGATTTAAAGGGACGATTTACTAGATGTTGCAAATGTGGTAGTTACATAACTTCATGTGAACTTGAAGATATAAACGTGTGGGGGTACAGTCCAGCCTGTCAATCAGGCCACAGCCTGAAGGAGCCTCCCTGTGGGTGTGGCCTTCTCATACGGAGGGTCCTGGGAACCTCCCCCCTTCTCTGCCTTCACCTTCCTGCTGGTAGGCCACTCTGAGACCTGCCAGAGCCCTGTGATGCTTCCACCACCATTGGATCCACAAGACTTTGCACCCACTGGCCTGTGATATTCCTGCATTCTGCATCATTGCATGTGGCTGCATGAGTCTGAAGAAGGACTTATGGACTAGCTTATGATTTATGGACTTGAGCTTGACTTGAGATTGACTGAGGTCTTCCTGACAGACAATTAGTCTTGATATAAAATATATATATATATATATATATATATATATATATATGCCATTGGATTTGTTTCTCTAGTCAATCCAGCCTAACACAAAGAACATATATCTTGTTAATGACCAGAAAAAAGTACTATTTTTAAGAAGAAAAGACAACCAACTCAACAACTGAAAGAATTATTAAGTAATACTTATAATGATGCTATGGATATCTTACACTTTCAACGAATCTAGTTGCTTTGACTTAGGAACAGGGTGCAAGGAAAGGGGTAAAATACTCTTGTAAAATTTATTAGACAAATTCAGAATGAAGGAAATCTCTTATTATGTCACCTCTAAATATTTATATAATATTTCTGAAGTTGGCAAGTTACATCTTATAGGTGTTGATTATAAGTATACCTTTTACATGCTTATTTCAGTTGTCCAAGAAACATGCCTCCAATTTTGGCTGTAAAGGGTTAAAATAAATCATTATGCTCTTACTGAAAAATTTCAATTGCCTTTGCTTTTATATGATCAATAAATTGATCTAAAAGTTTCGCTCATGAGACAATCCATTTGTAGTCATTTAATATGTCAAACAATTTGTCTCAAATATCCATCTCTACTCAGGTTATTAGATGTAAATGCAAAGTAAAGCATAAATAGTGCAAAGCACATAAACACCGCTTCTCCTTGAACATATGTTTACACCTGCATCTACCACAGTGCCTGGTTCAAAGTCAGCACTCAGTAAGACAAATTGATTCAATGGATTTATCAATGAATACAATGGACTGATGTAAATGAAGTCGGTAATCATACTGAAAAAAAGAGAATTATGGGCCACTTTAAATAAGATTCAGGAATAGGATATGAAAGAAATGTGGAGCCCATACCTTAGAACAGATTTGTAAACAGCAGTTTAGAAAACATCAAAAACGTCTCTAGTACACACAGGTAGAATTAACAACAAAATGCAAGTGGAACCAGTTCTTCAAACTTACTTCATAAAAGCAAATAGCAATAGTGTATCTGACTGGCACTTCAGGGTCATGACAAAGGCAGAAGAATGTAGAATAGAGTTCCATGTGGAAGTTTTTAGGATCAACAAAAACAATCATGGCCTGGTGGAGGTGGGAGGGAGGGGATGAGTGGGAAGGAGAGAAAAACATGCATCAATCGCCTGCAATTACCATCACCTCCCGTAGCTGAAACCATACCCTCTGAGAACAGCACGGACAGAACACCCATTTGGAAGATCCCAACGTATCCACACAATTCTGATTCATGCATGGAGAAAAATATAAATTCCACAAATATTTACTAAGCACCCACTGTGTACAACACATAACACCAAGCAGCAAGTGCTACGTCTGGCAAGATCTTTAATGTTTTGACAAAACGCTTAGCCAACAAGGTGCGGCCATGTATTACCGGGAGATTGTAAGCACAGTTCTTCCGTACTGAGGTGTACTTCTTTTCCTGCTCCAGGAGCTGGGGTGGGACCTGATTTTCACTGTGTCCATTTTCTTGTGGCAAGCCTAGCGTACTAAGTTTCTTGTAAAACTCCAAAAATCGCAAGTGTTGATCTGGGGTAAAAATCCCTAAAGCAAATATAAAAATGTATCTCAGCATCTTAATAGAAAACAGAAATCAGAAAGAGAAAAAAAATCAAAGTATAATAAAAATGGATTTGGCATCATACATGTCTTGCCTACATTTAAGCCAAATGGTTAAACAAATGACTGCAGCTCAGTTATCATAAAGAAAAGCAACAAGTAAGGGGATGCATTGCTTTACTTAATATTAACACCAACAGAACTTTCACTTCAGTAGTATAAATTGTTTAAGTTAGGGATTATATGGGTATTAATTTCTGCAACACATATCAAAATCTAGACAACCAATAAGAAAATCCACTGCCATCAAGTCAGTTCCAACTCATAGCAATGTGATGGGACAGAGGGCAAACTGCCCTCCGGGGCTTCTGAGGCTGTAAAGGTTGATGGGGACAGAAAACCTCCTCTCTCTCCAACAGGGCAGCCGGTGGGTTTGAATCACTGATGTTCCAATTAGCAGCACAGTATGTAACCTACTACGTCACCAGGGCTCCTTAGACATCGGGTGAGTCCATATCCTACTAATACTGAGGCCAGTAGACATAGCCCCATTCACTTAAGGCGCATATTTTAAACGTGCCTGTAAGTGAAGCCAGGGTGCATGTCCTAGAGAGGGAACTTAAAATGAAATGTGAAAGATGGTAAAGTAAGCACATGTCTGTCTGATAAATGGTCTGCTTTCACAGCTATTAACTGTATTAGGGAACTGGGAGCTCATTCTCTGCTACAGTAAAAATATTATACAGTACACTTTATCTTTTAGAACAGTTTTAGACTCACAGAAAAATTACCCACAAAGTATGGAGAGTTCCTGCCAACTACCTCTTGGCCCAGCAAACTTACCCTACTATTCTTTTTTCTGTTGTTGTGTAACTATTCTTAGCAGCCTGCATTAATAGCCAAGTTGTGGTCATTTGTTACGATTGATGAACTAGTATGAAGACATTATTATTAACTGAAGTCCTTAGTTGACATTAGGGCTCATTCTCTGTGTTGTACAATTTGACAGGCTTTGATAGATGCATGTCTTGTGACCGCCAACAGGGAGAGTATCATCCAATATGCACATGTTCACTCTCCTAAAAATGGCCTCCGCTCTGCCTATTCCTCCTTCTAGTCTCCCCCAAAAGGCCTGGCAACCACGGATCTCTTTCTCAACCTTTAGTTTTGCCTACTCCAGACTCGTACATGTGGTATGCGGCTTTTCTAGGCGGCTTCTTTCACTGAGCCATCTGCCTGTGCGGTTCCTCCCTGGCTCTGGTAGCTTGATAGCTCACTTCTCCTCCTCTCCGAATGACACTCCATTATACAGATCTATCAGTTTGTTTATCCATTCACCTACTGAAAGACATCTTGGTTGCTTCTCAGATCTGGCAATGATGAATACATTTCCTATACATTTTGGGGGGCAGGTTTTTGTGTGGAACTAAGTGGTCAACTCATTGTGGTGAACATCTAAAAGCAAAAATGCTGAGTTATGTGTAAGACTGTGTTTAGCTTTGAACAAAACTGCCCAACTGTCTTCCAAGGAGCTATACCACTCTGTCTTCCCATCACAATAGGACATCACTCCTGTTCCCTCAACAGCGTCGCCAGCATTCGATGGTGTCAATGTTTTCGTTTGTAGCCATCATAAAGGTGGGTGGTGCTATTTCATAGTTACTGTGTCATTTCCTAATAAAATATGATGAGAGGAGCCCTGGTGGTACAGTGGGTCATGCACTGGGCTGCTAAACACCAGGACAGCAGTTGGAACCTACCAGCCACTCTACAGGAGAAAGATGAGGCTTTGTGCTCCCACAAAGATTTACAGCCTCGGAAACCCACAAGGGGAGTTCTACACGCTGTCTATAGTCTCCCCACAACCAACGCCCTGACAGTGAGTTTTTATATAATATGTGATTTGAACATCTTTTCAAATGCTTTTTAGTTATATGCACATCTTCTTTGGTGAGGTGTCTGTATTAGCCTAGGTACTTTGGAGAAACAAATCCACAGTGACTCATGTATAAGAGAGAGTTTTATGTAAAGAAAAGGTGCATCACGAAAACATCCCAACCCAATGCTGCCCAAGCCCACAAGTCCAACATTAACCCATTAACCCAACACCAGTCCACAAAGTCCTTCACCTCACAAAACAGAGGCAATGATGCCGACTGCAGGAGGAAAGCTGAGTCCGTGAACGTGTAAGCATCTCAGCACTGGCAAGGGTCTCCACATGGCTGCTCCAGCACCCAGGGCTGCATCGGGATAGATCCATGCGGCTTCTCCTTGGGGATGTCTTTTAGGAAGTCAATCTTGCAAGCTGAAGCAGGGAACTGCTAAGGCAGCTGCACCCGGTGCAACCATCACAAAACAAGAGACCCGAGAACTCCGTGTGGAGACCCTTGCCAGTGCTGAGATGCTTACACATTCACGGACTCAGCTTTCCTCCTGCAGTCGGCATCATTGCCTCTGTTTTGTGAGGTGAAGGACTTTGTGGACTGGTGTTGGGTTAATGGGTTAATGTTGGACTTGTGGGCTTGGGCAGCATTGGGTTGGGATGTTTTCGTGATGCACCCTTTCTTTACATAAAACTCTCTCTTATACATGAGTCGCTGTGGATTTGTTTCTCCAAAGTACCTAGACTAATACAGTGTCTAAGGAGTCTCTGCCAATATTTTGTCCATTTTTCAACTGGGTTGTTGAGTTTAAGCCATGTTACACAAGTTGTGTCCCTGCCAATGTAAATCCTAAACTCTCTGCCTGTGACCATAAGCCCATCTTGAGATGATTTTCTGCCATGCTAACTAGGCAGGTATCGTGTAGGGTTATGTCCTTAGTCAGAATGGAGGAGAGAAGGAGGCAGAGGGAAGGCAAGCCGCATGAAGGTCAACCAGAGGCTGATGCTCAAAAGAGACCAAGACCTTCCGCACAGCTGACAGAGAGAGAATACCCTTCCCTAGAGGCAGTAGCCTGAATTCTGACTTCTAGCCACCCGGCATATGAGAAAGCACTTCTGTTTGTCAGTCACCCCACTGTGGTGTTTCTGTTATAGCAGCTAGATATCTAAGAAAGCATCTCTTGGGCACCAAGTTCATTATCAGACATGTGTTTCCCAAATATTTTCTCCCAGTCAGTAGCTTGTGTTTCCATGCTCCTAACAGACAATAACCCTTTCAAGAGTCTACTAAATTGCTATGATCTGCAAAAAGAAAGGTTTTTTTTCACTATACTAGATGGTAGATGAATGGATTAAAAAAAACAAACTATGCAATATGTTCAAAATGCCAAGAGTTATACATAATAGCTTATAGTCTAAGATGAACTTCTCATATGACATACAAACAAATAGTTAAGAAGGGTAAACTTATTCTGCAAGGACCATAATTTGACCTGAGCTGCTATTACATACCAACACATAAGGATAGAATATTCCTAAATGTAAGGGCTATGGCTACTTCAATGACTGGTTATGCATTTGAGTACTAACCAAAAAGTTGGAGTTTTGAACCCGCCAGCCACTCTGAAGGAGAAAGATTCAGCTTCTATATAGATTACAGCATGGAAAATCATGTGGGGGCCTTTCTAATGTGTCTCACAGGCTCGCTGAGAGTCACACTCAACTCAATGGAGTGAGTTTGGTTTCAGTTAAGCGTTGGACTTGTGACTGTAGCGTCAGTGGTTTAAATGACCAGATGAGGCTGTCTGCTCCCATAAATGTTTACAGCCTCAGAACACTGGGAGTCAGATCGACTTGATGGCAGTGAGCGTGATTTTCAGTCACTCTGTCATTATTCTTTCAAACAGATTCTATTCGCACAACCAATGCCATTCTGAATGAGTTCTAAATTGTTATTAAAACTTTAAAATTTTTCTCTGAAGCTTTTCTACACATAGGATTGAATAGGTTTTAGGATTGAATAGCTGAAGGCCAGTGGCTAAGGCGGAAGAAAAGGGGAAACCATCTATAATCATGAATTTTAGGATATTTCATACCATACAGTCCATGGCATAGCTTTCCTAAATGGAAGGATAAGGAAATAAGAATTGATTCATCTGCTTTGAAAGATTTTTCACAAAATGATTTCACTAAGGGAAGTATCGTTTGACTTCTGTCATCTGGAAAACAAAAGAAGACACGTTTTAGATCCATATTGTCCGTATTGCACTGCAGAAATTCATACCTACCCATACACCGCCAAATAAGGAAATGTGATGCCACCCTCGTGAGAACAGAATGCATTTTCAAACAGTGATAGTGGATGGTGAAGAAGGTGTCGAGAGGAAGGTCAGGCTGAAGCAGTCAGACTTCATACTCTGGGTACAGCGAGCGGAACAGAGAGCGTCACCACAAGTTATGAAGTTGACATGGTTGCCAGTTTGAGTCTGGAAAACGGAAAGAATTCTAACTGCATTAACACTAAAGGATGGGTAGCAGGCACAGGAGGCTCCTCAGCCTCTTTCTCGTCTCTCTCAGGCCGTGCTGCATGCAAGCCCACCAGGTCACTTCACTTGGGGCTGAAATTCAGGGAGCTTATAACATGCTCTGAATACTGAATGGCCACGCTTCCACTTCTTAGATGTCTTTTCTTTAAAAAGCTAGTCAAGTCTTTGCATTTATTGAGGTAATACATTTCTGATCTACTAATGATATCTAATTCTATTCTAAATCCTCTCCAAATTGTTCACACTACTCTAGAGCTTTCAGAAGTAAACTAGTACATTATTGAAGTCTGACAATAACATGTTTTAATGGGCTTATTAGCATTTTGTCACCATGCTATCATTAGATTTCAGCCCTGTGTCTACTCAAGTGGTTAATGTTCATTCAAACGCCTTTTTGAATTTCTTATAAAGCAAGCAAGGAGTAGAAATAGGAAGCTGAATGCAGAATGCCCTCTGAGCTAGAGAAACAGACCAGCATGGAGGTCAAACAATAACAATGAAAATGGGTAGAAGATGATGGGATCGTGTTTTAATAGCAGGCTGTCAAGGGCCTGGGAGTCAACAGTGACAAGGAGCCACCCTGCAGCTGCGGCACTAAGGAAGCTGCTGTCGTTGGTGTGCGTCAGTGTGCGTGCTGCCACGAGGCAGGAGCCCATTTAAAGGGACCCCAGGCCCAATGAAGCACGTGCGATGATTCCTAGTCTGTCCTTAGCCAACCTGCAGAAGCCTATCCACATGCTGTTTCCCAAAGACAGCCACAGATGACATATAAACATGTGGACATGACTACATTCCAATAGACCTTACTCAATAAACACGGAGGGATAGGGTCAGCCTACAGGACATACTCTGCTGAGTCCTGGTATAAGGTATTTGGAAAAGTAAACTCTATCTCAATTGGGCACTGGCCAGGGGAGAGGTTGGGGGAGTGGGAGGGAAGGACAACAGCGATAAGAAAGAGTGTGAGGAAAGGCTAGAGGTGTGAAAGACTTCCCAGTGCTGAAGTAATGGCTAGTGTCCCCAGAGTGCAAGACAAAGGGAATGCACAGCAATGACAGGGCTTGACACCAAGAACACTGTCCAGCCCACAGTTGTGAAAACAGAGGGGTGGGCAGCAAGGAGGAAGAAATTTAAGATGATGCCATGCTTTTTAGTTTAAATAACTAGGGCTACCCCACTATTAAGGACAAGCAGTTCTTGTCATTCACTCACTTATTTTGGGGGGGACGGGGAGGTTGTTTTATTTATTTATTTTTAAAAAATCATTTTATTGAGGGCTCTTACAACTCTTATCACAATCCATACATACATCCATTGTCTCAAGCACCTTTGTACATATGTTGCCATCATCATTTTCAAAGCATTTTCTTTCTACTTGAACCCTTGGTATCAGCTCCTCATTTTTCCCCTCCCTCCCTCATGAACCCTTGATAATTTATAAATTATTATTATTTTGTCATGTCTTGCATTGTCCGATGTCTTCCTTTAACCCCTTGTCTGTTGTCAATCCCCCTGGGAGGGGGTTACAGGTGGGTAATTGTGATAGGTTCCCCATTTCTCCACCCACCTTCCCCTTACCATCTTGGTATGGCTACTCTCAATATTGGTCCCGGGGAGTTTATCTGTCCTATATTCCCTGTGTTTCCAGCTCTTATCTGTACCCATGTACATGCTCTTATCTAGCCAGATTTGTAAGGTAGAATTAAGGTCATGATAGTGGGGAGGAGGAAGCATTAAAGAACCAGAGGAAAGCTGTATGTTTCATGGGTGCTTTACTGCACTCTCACTGGCCCGTCTTCTCCCCATGACCCTTCTGTAAGGGGATGTCCAATTGCTTACAGATTGGCTTTGGGCCTCCACTCTGCACTCCCCGCCTCATTCACATTATGATTTTTTGCTCTGGATCTTTGATGCCTGATACCTAATCCTATCGACACCTCATCACACAGGCTGATGTGCTTCTTCCATGTGGGCTTTGTTGTTTCTCAGTTAGATGGCCACTTGTTTATCTTCAAGCCTTTAAAACCCCAGATGCTATATCTTTTGATAGCAGGGCACCATTGGCTTTCTTCACCACATTTGCTTATGCACCCACTGTGTCGCCAGCAATCGTGTCAGAAAGGTGAGCATCTCAGAGTGCCGGATTATTAGAACAAAGTGTTTTTGTGTTGAAGGAGTACTTGAGTAGAGGCCCAATGCCCATCTGCTTCCTTAATACTAAACCTATAAATATGCCACCAATAATACTGCCTAATTCACTGTTGTGTAACATCCAACCAGAATCACTGTCCACACTGCAATCATCTGAAGAGGCTCTCTTACTTCAGTGTAGATGTTAACACTCCATGGAAATCAGATGCTAGAATGGCACAGCTTAGTTTTACACCAGAGTACTTGATATTTATTTACCCTCCAAGTTTCACCTTCTCTGAACAGCTAACACTCACTGCTAAATGAACACTGGGCAGAGTGGCTCATTGTGTGTGTTTGTGTGTGTGTGTGTGTGTGTGTGTGTGTGTGTGTGTGTGTGTGTGTTGATCTGTATATTAGTAAATACTCCCTTAGCCATCCCTACTCAGGTCCACATCCAAATTCCTCCCCTCTCTCTCAACAGCATGGTCTTTCTAGCTTTAACATAATTATTATTGAGAGGAAAGTCATTTAGACATTGTTTTGGTCAGGGTTTATCTTTGAGACACTCAGTTGAATCCTTTGCCCTGTACACTTTTTGACAGAAAAACAAAAGGAATGGAATATGGAACAAATGCTGGTACCAAGAGGGTAAAGGTGGCAATAGAGAAGGCATCAAAAGAGAAAAAGGAGAAAACAAAATGTAAATAAAGAGAGAGATAGGAAGTATTTCATCACAGAAAGTAACTTTAAAATGTTACTCTTAACCTGGGATCCATAACCCATCCAGAACCACTGCTTTCAGAAGCAAAGATGTGTCCACTTGGAAGACTGACCTGTGTCAAATATGTCAAGCAGATTCACCAGGGTTTCAAAGGCTGCAAGACGCACACTGCTGCCTTCATCTCTAGAGAGTTCTACTAATTCCGGAAGCACCACACTTTTTGTAAGCTCTGTCCTGCACAATAAGCAAGAGAAGAAAAGAGATCACACCAATACACTTGCAGTGAGATCCTACAATGAACAAGACCCCGGGCTCAGTGCTATAAAAACGTGAATAGTCATAACCGTATTGCTCTTGCCCTCCACAGGTTTGCAATCTGGCTGGGAAAATATGAAACATTAATAATCCTTTCACACAAAAAATAAAATAATCCTTTCACAATGACTTAAATCAAGATAATATTGTTAGATGCACAGGTCTTCATGAATGGCAGCTGATATTCGATTTTATAAATCATAGTTCACTTTTGTTAGCAACTTCAGCAAATAAATTGAACTGATTAGAAAAACTCATCAGTAGTACTGCATTTTTACACATATCGTGTGGGCATTGCATGTTGGCTTTTTCCTAGACTGTGCAACCCCATCACACGTTAGTTTCCTATGCACACGTACTATGCGTGTGCATAATGACATGGTTGGTTATAAGCAGAAAAAAACCCTGTAACGGTAGGAAGTCAAAACAGATGCTACTGCATATTGTGACACCTAGGAGAGCTTACTGACTAGGGCTGATGGGAGCAGGCATCTCTTCCTAGTTCTGATCTTAGGGAAGGGAATCATTCAATATGTTACGAACATTGCTGATCTCAGATGGATCTTAGCAGAAAGCAGAGGACACCAGAAAGATGTTCACTTGTGTTTTATTGACTATGCAAAGGCATTCAACTATGTAGATCTGGATAACATGGAGAACCATGGGAATTCCAGAGTACATTGCTGGGCACATGCAGAACCTGTACATGGAACAAGAGGCTGCTGTAATCCTTATTTACAAAGGCATTTTTCCAAGTCTTTCTTCCATGGAGGTTCTGGATAGATTCAAACTGCCAACCTCTGAGTCAACAGCTGATCACAAATTACTTGCACCACTCAGATTCCAACCACCAGGCTCACATAGTCAGATGTGTTCATAGTGAAGAGAAGAGATGGGATGCCCTATTTTGCTCCTTCTTGCACTTCTCACAAGGACCGGGCGGAATAGTGGTTATGTGTTGGCTGCTAACCTCAAGGTCAGCAGCTTCAAACCCCCAGCCACTCCATGGGAGAAAGATAAGGCTTTCTACTTCCATAAAAAGTTACAGTCTTGGAAACTGACAAGTAGGTTCTACCCTGTCATATAGGGTCACTGTGAGTCAGCATCAACTTGATGGCAAAAAGTTTAGTTTGGGAGGAGGGGAAGTTTGCACCTCACACACCCAAAGGGCAGGGAAAATGGAAAAGTAGAGGCTTAGAGTTACATAGGAGACATGGAAAGAATTCCATTAGATTAATCATATGTAACGGAATAATCCAGCTGCCAGCCAAAAGATTCATTTGGGCATTGTCCTTAAAATAAAATAGTGAAGGTTAGAAGGAAAAATTAATATCCACAATATACTTATCACCATGTTAATCTTGTTTATTTTTATATCTTAATCCACAGATCTATCAGGAGATAATTATTATAGTCATTATTACATATCATATAAAGTGTAGACTTTCAATTACACATGTTCATAGAATACATGAAAGGAATATGAATATTTAACAATTCAGAAATAAGAATCGAAGTATTCTTACCCAACACCCTGAGCTATGTTTTCTAATTGCCGACACATACAAGATCGAACTTCATATTCTACATCCTGGCAGAGTGATTTCACCAGTGGAATTATTTCTCTTTTAATACTAAGGGAGGGAAGGAAAGAAGATGTGAGTGATGGCTTAGAATAATTAGTATTTTCAAATAATTATCAAAATACTTTTGTTAGTTGCCATTGGATTGGTTCTGACTCGGAGTACAATGGAATGAAATGCCTCCTGGGTCTGTGCCATCCTCCCAGTCTTAGCCACGTTTGGGCCCACTGTTTCAGCCACTGTGCTAATCAATCATATTGCCGTCTCTATTTTTTGCTGACTCTTTACATAATTCACCAAGCATTATGCCCTTCTCTAGGGACTGGTCCTTCTTAATAACTTTTCCAAAATGCATGAGATGAAGTCTCACCCTCCTTGCTTCTGAAGAACAGTGAATTGATTATACTTCTTCCATGATAGATTTTTCCTCATTCTTCAGAAAGTCTATGGCATAGTTAATATTCTTCACCAACACCTTAATTAGTGCTTCTTCAGTCTTCTTTATTCATTGCTTTCCCATGCCTATAGGGTGATTGAAAATACTGTGGCTCAGGTATGGTACACCTTAGCCTTCAAAGCAGCATCTTTGCTTTTTTAACATTAATCAAGAGGTGTTAAGAAATGTTTAAGAGGTTGAAGTACATCTGCCGAATGCAATGCATCATTTTATTTCTTTACTACTACCTTCCATGGGTATCAATTATGGATCCAAATGAAATTCTTGACAACTTCAATACTGTCTCTGTTTACTGTGATGTTGCTTTTTGGTGCAGTTGAGAGTTTATACTTCCTTTTTCTTAAGGTATAATTCAGACCGAAGGTTTTAGTTTTTGCTCTTTAACAGTGTTTCATGTCCTCCTTGCTTTCAGCAAGGAAGCCTGTGTGATCGCCATGTTGCAGACTTAATGAGAACCTAACACTAATGCCCAGTCTTCATCAGAGTCCAGCCTCTCGGATGACTTGCTTAGCATTCCGATGAAAGGAGAATGGTGAGAGGATACAACCCTGATGCACAGCTTTCTTTGACTTGAAATCACGCAGTCTCCCTTTGCTCTGCTCAAACATCTGCCTCTTAGTCTACCTACAGGTTCCACATGAACACAATTAAGTGCTCTGGAATTTCTTTTCTTCAAAATGTTATCCACAGTTTGTCATGATCTACAAAGTAGAATGCCTTTTCACAGTCAGTAAAACACAGGTAAATGTCTTTCTGGTATTCTCCACTTTTACCCCGAAGTCATCTGTTGTCTGTAATGACATCCTTTGTCCCAAGTTCTCTCCCGAATCCAGCTTGAATTCCAGTTGATGCATTGCTACAACTGTTTTTTTGTTTTGTTTTGTTTTTTTAATCATTTTACTGGGGGCTCGTACAATTCTTATCACAATCCATACATACGTCCATTGTGTCAAGCATATTTGTACATTTGTTGCCATCATCATTCTCAAAAAACTTGCCTTCTACTTGAGCCCTTAATATCAGCAGCTCATTTTGCCCTCTCCCTCCCCACTTCCCCCTCCCTCATGAACCCTTCATAATTCATAAATTGTTATTATTTTGTCATATCTTACACTGTCTGACGACTCCCCTGCCCTTTCTCTGCTGTCCATCCCCCAGGGAGGAGGCTATACATAGATTCATGTAATCAGTTCCCCCCTTCAACCCCACATTCCCTTCACCCTCCAGGCATCGCCACTCTCACCACTGGTCCTGAAGGGGTCATCTGTCCTGGATTCCCTGTGTTCCCAGTGCTGCAACTGTTTTTTAAATGATCTTCTGAAAAAGTTCGCTTGCTTGTGACACGACAGTTTTTAATAATTTCCCCATTATGTTGGATCACCTTTCTTTGGTATGGACATGAATATGGATCTTTTCCAATCGGTTAGCCAGGTAGCTGTCTTTCAAATTTCTTGACATACACAAGTTAATGCCTCCAGTGCTGCATAATTCTATTGAAATATCTCAGTTGGTATTTCATCAATTCCTGGAACTTTGTTTTTCACCCATGCCTTCAGTGCAGCTTGAACTTCTTTCTTCAGTAGGATCAGTTCTTGATCATATGATACCTCCCTAAATAACCATTGAGAGAGCCAATGTATTTTTCAATTTTCCTTTGATGCTCCCTGGATCATTCAATATTTTGCCCATGGAATCCTTCAATATCACAATTCAAGGCTTGATTTTTTTTTTCTTCCGTTCTTTCAGTTTAAGAAATGCTCAGTGTGTTCTCTTTTCTAACTCTAGGTCTTTACACATTTCTTTATATTTTCCAGTCTTCCAAGCCACCCTTTTACTTCATTTCTTCCCATCAGTTTAGCTATCCCACACTTAAGAGTTACTTTCAGAATCTCTTCTGACATTTCTTTTGGTAATGCTCTAGAGCTTGCCATGTGTTTTTTAAAAAGTTATTAAATTTGAATGGCATCATCATAGGATGGATTTTTAATACCTAATTTTGTGAGTGTAGCTAATGTGCAGCTGAAGTCAAAAACTGTAGTAGCAGGTGGACTATAAGATGGAACAACCACCAACCAAGTTATTAAGTGTTACACTTTACTCGGGTTATAATTATACCACATGCCCTTTCTTCCAGCTGGTATTTCTCATCTTGACAAAGAGCAACATATAAATTATAAGCCTTCTCCATTAATTCTCAGAATAAAATGAAATATCTGAAGTAATGAACTCATCACAATAATGTAAGGAAGCAGCAATTCTATCTTTACATCTTGCTTACCAATTTTTTGAACTTTATATAATAATGTTATTTTATTTTCAAAGGTATACCGTGTGACATGGGGAAATAAGACAGGAAATTGAAAGAGCTAGCCTTATTTACTCTCAAAAGTTAAAAGAATCAGAAGAAATGCATTCATGTGAGTAAGTACACTTCTATCAAATCTACAGAGTGAGTAGAATTAAGCTTTTATGGAGTATGGAATTCTACAAATCAAATATAATTGTTAAACATAGAATCATAGATTCTAAATTTATTTAATTTAATAAAATTAATAAGTTATACATAAATACTCACGTGTGGACATCAAATTTGTTGGTCAATTTTCCTAAAATTTTACAACTCACTAAACGAGACTGTACTGTTTGAGATAGTTGTGCCTTGGAAACAAGTGGATTCAAAATCTAAAAGGACAAGATTTAGAGAGGAAAGTCAGAAAGCATTATACATTCTTGACACTCATGTTAGCTAATTTTCCTAAAGAATATAAAATCCTAAATATTTTAAGAACATTGATTAGAATATGAGGTACACGATTATTCATCCTTTGGATGATCTTCTTTGCTTTCTAGATTAATAAAGATTATAATAAATTATAGAATTTAAGATAATCTGGAACCAAAACAATTTATTTAAAACATATGGAGAAATCTGGAATGATCTGTATATATTTTAAGTATAATTTTTAAAGACACATTTTAAAAGGAAAAGGGAAATTAATGACCAAACTTCTTGAAATTTATTTATTTCATATAAATTAATTTTTTTATATTTTTATACTTATCCTAAGGGATGCCAAAATAGTATAGTTTCAAATGAATGCTATTAACTTTCAATTAAATATAACAGCCCAAACCTAATACTGTATGATGTACAGGCTGGGCATTCAAAAACGCAATAGCATGGTCTATTTAAAAGAACTCTGGAGATCAAACCCGAACTTTAATGCAGTTTTTAATTTGTCCAAGTAATCTTGCTACTTCTGATCCCAGGTTTCTCTTCTGTATAAAATGGATATTAGAACACATGGTACTAAAACATACGTTTTAAAATTCTGTTTCTAATAAAATGTCAACCAGTTCATTTCCTTTTAAGAAAGTTTATTTCGTTTCAAGAATAATTATTGATTCCATGATGATAACTGCGATTTGAAACTGAAAGATTCAAAATGAAATATATATATTTAATAGCTTAAAAAGCCATATTTTAAAAAATCAGATGACACTTAAAAGGAGAAATGACATCTAACTGCACATTGTTGCTCAAAATATGAACTAACACACATCTACATTACAATCAACCTTTAAAAATGTGTAATCATTCAGATGTTTGGCATCCATTTTATAATATCTGTATAATTGAATGAATCTCCCCACTTTCAAGCAAGTATTCTGGCATTAATACAGAATCATAAACTGTATGGGGACAAAGATACCTTATTTAATCCTTAGAGAACACATAACTGTTTTTTTAATCTGTGACGTATTTGAAAAAATACATAAAAGAAGTAAGACTATAAATTCCTTTCTATTTTCCTATTCTGTCATCTTAATTTACAAAAACTTTGAGAGAAGGTATCTTCAACAATGTTGAACATTAAATGAAAAGCAGCCAAATGAGAAAAATGTTTGAAACAAATATAAGAATGGATGGGAAATCTTAACAGTATATATGAGAAGGCTCCAAGAAGTTCATGGGAAAACTCCATTGTCTTTTAATTCCATTTCACATGAAATTTTTGAAGCCCCTGTATATAAATAGTAATGGAAATGGGATCAAATATTTTGGATCAAATAATTCCACCAAAAAAGTAGTCCTGATTTAAATAAAATATCAAATCCACTGACATTGAGTCAATTCCAACTCATAGCAACCCTATATAAGTATTCCAAAGCTATTGAAACATTTATGACAGCACACAGCCTCATCTTTCTCCCACAGAGCAGTGGATGGGTTTGAACCACCGACCTTACGGGAAGCAGGCCAACACTTACCGGGCAATGCTACACCAGGGCTCCTCTAAATATAACATATGGGAAAATATTCAACCACAAAAAAAATTCCATTAAAATAGATGAGTTAGTTAATTGTGCCAGCCTGGCCGATAATCACATGTGGGGCTAATCGAAAGGCGGAGGGATAAATGGGTGGTGAGCCTCGCCTTTCTCGTTCTCGGGTCTCTTG